TAATGGTCCTACTAGGTCTATTCCAACACGTTCGAAGGCTTGTCCAATCTTTATAGGATGTAAAGGTTCTTTTCTTCATGACTTGCCTTTTTTCTGGCAAACTTCACAAGTTCTAACATATTTCCTAATATCTCTATACATTCCATCCCAATAATATCTTTCTGTAATTTTATAATACATAGCATCAATTCCTAAATGTCCTGCAGTAGGATGACTATGCATTATATAAAGTACTGGGTCTACTTCTGTCCATTTTATAACTCATAGTGGCTTGTCTGGATTCTTTCTGTTTCTTTTATTCAAAAGAACGTCCAAAAGATGACTCTGAATAGGATATATTGTGGATCGAACTATGGTATCCCTAAAGAGCTCTAATCCCAGTTCGTAGACTAAAGGAACATTCGCTGATTTGGCATATACACGATCCTTTGAGCATAATGCGTTTAATAGACATGATAAATGATTAGAAAGTGATTCATGTACACATAGGTATGAACAGATAGAAATGCGTACAAATCAAAATAACGTTCATAAATTACCATGTACATCAAAATGTCTCTAATCATGAGCATACATGTTGTATGATCTTCCCAAACGCTTTTCAGCACTTTTAAGAAATTTGCTCCACCAGCACCGTTAGCAGAATTTGCTTGTGAGCTACTAGCACCTGACATAGGAAAAGCTGGAACAACTTGGTCTTTAGCCACTTCTTCTAAGTGTTGAGTGATAACCTCCCTCACGCCGTTGTATAGCTTATCTCCATTTTTGTGAAGGACCATGTTATAGGCATTACGGTAAAGCTCTTCGAAGCTTAAGATCGACGCATTTTTCCTGTGAATTTCTCGAATAGCTTGGGCTAGACGGTCCCAATTATCGCTAAATGTGGTATCTGCGGCATTCTGAAAACGACGATTCATATTTAGTTTAAGTTATGATTTTAGTTCTAAATTAGTTGAGAGAATTTTACATGTTGCAATGAAAAGAACAATTTTAAGTCTGCAGGTATAATATTTATTTATATAGACTATCGGCAAATATTATTGGTCGGCCGTTTTTTCGGTCGTTGAACAGTTCCGGTCCCTACTGACAACTCGCAAAGTAAATCACAAAAAGACTAAATAGCCAACTAGCAATTGTTGACTTACGGTAACTTGATCCCAATTTCTAGATTAGCGGTAAAGTATTTTATACTTTCTTGATTGCAAGTACATGTTGGAAAAAAGTATAATAAACTCACCGATCTCTTTGGTGGCTTTATCTTTCCTTTTGGCTGAGTAGTTTTCCGAACATTATTCATAGTTTATTTTATTAAACTTTGCAAAGTAAAATTATCTATAAAAAATTACGGGTTCGAAATGAGGGTTTTATCTTAAATACTAGACACGTTACTTCAACGGATATAATGAAGCAGCTTTATTAATATTAGTCTGGTCGAAATAAACAATTATTTAATGTGTGATATTAATATGAATATATAGCAATTTCATGAATGGGGTTTGAAAAAATTACCCTAATTTCAAGGTAAGATAAAACATGTGCCAATTAGGGTGTATTTAATTTTTTTATTTATATTTGTTTTTTTAAAAAAATTACGTATATACTGCATTTTATAAAGAAATTACTGTAGTGGTCACAAAAAATAAACTTTCAATTATTCTTACCATTAATTAATTTCTCAGGTTTACCAACGCTAAAATGCACATAGGTATTAATCGAAAACTAGTAATACTTTGCATTTAATATATAGCAATTAGAAAATTAAAGATTAGATTCGAAAAATTGAAGCTTTTAATAATACAGTATAAATACTATATATATATATATATATATATAATATATTAATTACAGTATTTACTAAAATACACTACAGTATTCGATATACTAATTTTGCTAATAGTAATTATTTTACTAATAGCTATTTTGCTAACGAAGCTAGTTTATTTAAATTAAAATTAATTAATATTCTGTAGTATATAAAGTATATATGGAGGGAGGTCAATAGAAAACAGGCAAATTGTTTTTAGTAAAAATTTTTTAAACTTTAAATTAAAATATTTTAACAATTA